TCTCTTGGGTTTTCTAGGTATAGGATCATATCATCAGCAAATAGGGATAGTTCGACTTCTTCCTTACCAATGTGGATGCCTTTGATTTCCCTTTCTTGCCTTATGGCCCTGGCTAGGACTTCCAGTACAATGTTGAATAGATATTTTCTTCTTCTTCTTTTTGTTTTTAATCTTAGCCATTTTAGAGGGAGTGAAACGGTATCTCATTGTAGTTTTTATTTGCGTCTCTCTGGTGAGCTCTGGTAGTGTAGTGCCAGTGGAACTTGACTGCTAACCAGAAGGCTGGCAGTTCAAACCCATCAGCCACTCCTTGGAAAGAAGGTTGGGCAATCTACTTCTGTAGTGATAATCTCCTCAGAAATCCAAGGAGGGGTCACTATGTGTCGGGTCTGATTCGATGGCACATAACAACAACAGCAACAACGATGGCTAATGATTAGCATCTTTTCATGTGTTTTGTGGCCATTTAAATGTCCTGTGTGGTGAAATGTCTGTTCAAGTCCTTTGCCCATTTTATGATTGGGGTATTTTTTGTTGTTGTTGTATATGTGTTTTGGTTGTTAGATTCTTAGCACATATATGATTTCTGAAGATACTCTTCCTGTTAGTAGTTTGTCTTTTTACTTTTTATGGAAAAGTCTGTTGATGAAAAAAGTTTTTAATTTTTATGAGGTCCCATTTATTTATTTTGTTTTTGCTGTTTGTGCTTTTATTATTATATTAGATAATCCATTGTTAAAAGCTAAGCCTGACAATATTGCCTGCATTTTTTCTTCTTAAAATTTTATGGTTTAAGTTTTCACATTTAGGTCTTAAACCATTTTGAATTTGTTTTGGTGTGAAGTATGCATCTTGTTTCATTTTTCTGCATGTAGAAATTCAGTTTTTCTAATACCATTTATTGGAAAGACTCTTCTGTCCTGATAAAAAATTAGTTGATCATGGATGTGTAGGTTTATTGTTATTATAGGTCAGTTGTATTCCATTGGTCTATGTGTCTCTTGTTATACGTTTTCCCAGGCTGTTTTTGATTAATGTAGCTGTATAATTAGTTTTAAAATCAGGAAGTGTGAGTCTTCCTACTTTGTTCTTCTCTTTCAATATTACTTTTGCTATTCGGAGCCTCATGTCATTCCATATAAACTTGAAGATTGATTTTCCATTCTGTAAAAAATTCATAGTGCCTATGGCACTTGACTGCTAACCAGAAGGCTGGCGGTTCAAACCCACCAGCCACTCCTTGGAAGGAAGGTTGGGCAATCCTACTTCCATAGTGATACTGCCTAGGAAACCCAAGGAGGGGTCGCTATGAGTCGGGGCCAACTCGACGGCACATAACAACAACAACAACAACAAAAAATTCTATTGGAATTTTAATCAGGATTATGTTGAATCTGTAGACAGATGTAAGTATTATTGGTATCTTAACAATATTAAGTCTTCCAGTCCATAAACGTAGAACATCTTTCCATTTATTTAGGTCGTCTTCAATCTCTTTCAGCAGGATTAATTCATTTAGTTGTTTTTATAGATGCGTTTTTATTGTATGAGTCAAATTGAATTCTATTTTGGTAATGTCAATTGTTGCTATGAGTCGGGTCCAATTGGACAGCGCATTAACAACAACAACAAAGACAATTGCAAGAAGAAATAACTGCCGTTTTTTCAGTTCTTATTCAACTGCTTATTTTTAAAATTTTGACAGTATCAAAGTCATCTGAAGATATTTTTCTGCACAAAAGAAGGATGCATTAATATTAAATATAATTATTTCTAGGTACTGAAGCACAGTCTTCACTTTTGCAAGCAGTGGCTTTCTTCTTAGAGAACCTTGCTATGCATGATATTACAGCAGCAGAACAGTGCTTTGGCTCTGGCACAACTGGTGACATTCCCAGCCCACAGGAAAGAGAAGTATATAATTATAGTAAATGCACTGTTGTGGTTCGGATTATGGAATTTACCACAACGCTGCTCAACATTTCTCCGGAAGCATGGAAGGTAGGGTCACTCCTGCTGCTCTGGTAATTTAAGGTCAGCACTTGGCACTTGAAAATTATTCATAAATTAGAAGTAGTTATGACCTTCTTTTTTAGAACTTTCCATATGTGTCTAACTCACTGCTGTCGAGTTGGATCTGAGTCATAGCGACCCCTCCTTGGGTTTCCAAGGCAGTATCATTATGGAGCGCTGGTAGCATAGTGCCTAAGGCACTTGACTGCTAACCAGAAGGCTGGCGGTTCAAACCCACTAGCCACTCCTCGGAATGAAGGTTGGGCATTCCTACTTCCGTAGTGATACTGCCTCGGAAACCTAAGGAGGGGTCGCTATGAGTCGGAGCCGACTCGATGGCAAATAACAACAACAGCAACATCATTATGGAAGTAGATTGCCCAATCTTCCTTCTGAGGAGTGCTTGGTGGGTTTGAACCACCAGCCTTCTGGTTAGCAACTAAATGCCTTACTCACTATGCCACCAGAGCTCCTTTCCATATGTATAGGAGTTTGATTTTTGAAAGTAAGGATTTTGTGTATTCTTCATTATTTTCATTATGTGAATAAGTACAAAATAGTTTTTCCAAGTGTCTAATTTTGTGCTGCATTTTATACCATGAGCAAACATTTGCCTTAGGAAAAATCTGTTAACAAATAATTTTAAACATATTTGTGAGGGTTATTACATTAAAAAACTCCAGTCAATAGAGGCTCTAGAGATATAGCAATGCCCTAAACCAGGGGCTAGGAAACTACAGCTCCTGACCCAACCTGCTTGCTTTTGTAAATCAACTTTTATTGGAACACAGCACTCCCATTTGTTTACATATTATCCCTTACATCTTTCATGCTGCAATGGCAATTAAAGTAGTTGCAGCAGAGACTATACAGCTCCCAAAACTTAAAATATGTATTATCTAGCTCTTTATAGAAAATGTTTACCACACCACCCCCATTCTAAACAGATAAAAATTGCTAACCTTGTGGTTCTTATACTGTAATGGAAGTGTAACTATTGCTTCATAAACTGTGTTTTGACTCAAATCATCTCCTACAGTTCCTTCAGAAAGATTTACTAAACACCAGCCTTGTGAAGCTTGTAGTGAAAACACTGTGTGAGCCTGTGAGTGTGGGCTTCAATATGGGTGATATTCAGGTCATGAATCATCTTCCTGGTGTGTGTGTGAACCTGATGGCAGCACTGAAGAAGTTACCATATAAAGACATCCTAGAGACACACCTCCTGGAAAAAATACCAATGCAGAGGTAGGCATGAGGCCATATGCTAATGTACAGTAGTATGTGAGGTAATGGAGTTCTGTGGCACATCCTTGAGAAAAGGATCCATCAGTTGTTTGAAGATCAGATATTTAACAAAAGCTGTTCCTGTACCTTAGGACAATCAAGATTCTGGTGTGGTTTAGAACTTATTTGTTGCCATGGCTAAGTTAGAGTCTGGAGCCTTTGTTTTTTTTGTTTGCTGTCACACCACGTTAGTGAGTTTGAATACCAGGTTATTAGTAGATGCATGTACCATGAGTGTACATAGTTTTTCAGTGTATCCTAGTAATTTAATACCATCAGACCTCATGTAGCTTTCTTTTTCTTTCTCTGATATGGACAGCATTGAGGATCTCTGTGTTATTAACCTGTATGATCATGGGGACAGGACCAAACTGACTTCTTTGGTGTCAGCATGTAAGCACCTTCATAAAGCTGGGTTCTTGCATGCTATATTACCATCACAGGTAAACATTTGTAACCAATTTGATTTTACATTTCCTTTAACTTTTCTGTACTATTTAGTCTATTTATTCATAAAGGGCGTTAAATATCCTTTCTGTACAGAGCATGCTGACATGATGTACTTGTACTGTACAGATGTACTTGTTCTAGATAATTAGATGTTTTCTGGAATAAAATAATAACCATAAATATAAAATTTCTAAATATAAAGTGAAAGTGAAATCAAGGATATCTGAATATTTCCAGAACAGCCTAGTAAAGAATTTAGAAGTTAACTCCTAGTGTGTTTTTGTGGCCAGGCAACGTAAATGAAAAAATATAACATAGAAAGCAAACTTTAGTTAATTTTTTTGCAAGTTGATTCTTTGGAAGATGTTTTTTAGTGTTAAGTAACTTTTTTTTTTTAATTGATGAAATTATTTTTTTCTCTTTAAAGTACTTTCTATTAGGCATTTAATGGTGGTTTTATTTTAGTCTCCAGATCTTCATCACTCTATTGGCACAAAACTTCTTTACCTGGTTTATAAAGGCATCACACCTGGAGAGGAAGGACAGTGTCTTCCTGTGCTAGATACCAGCTGTAAGCAGTTGGCCAGTAGAATTCTGGAGCTGGCTTTTGTTTTTGGAGGACAGGTAGGAAGCACACACAGCTACCTGAGGCACTGCCCTATACAGGCATGGTTGCTTACTGCTGCTTCTGATGTAGTAGGGTTTGATTTTGTCAGATCCTAGCAGCAGAAGTATTGTAAATGATTTATTTGTGTGGACTTTTTTTTTTTTTTTTTTTTACTTTAACAAATAGAATAACATTTTTCTTAAAATGGAGTTTTGTCTATCCCATTTTCCTTTCAAAGGTATTTTAGATGAAGGCCGTTTTGTGAACATAAAGCTGAACTGTGTTGACAAATGGTCTTTTCTTACCCATTCTTGGTGATTCTTGGGGTGGGGATTTGGGAGAGTCTCTGGAAGTAATTTCAAAAGCACCAGGCACCCCAAAAATGTCCTTAAGATTTTTTTTAGCAAATTACATATTTAAGCTTTTTAAAAGTACTCACTGCTACCCAACTATCCCTTTGGAACACTACCACCACCACCATTTTCTGAAATTTGGCAACAGTGTGGATCTGGAAAGTTTTTTTCTTCCCAAAAATAAGTCTGGTAAATTGAGGCTAATTAAAGTAAATACAATCTTTTCAGTACCCTTTTAAGGGTTTTAAACTTGAACTTAGGTCTTCCTATAAGACTTAGGTCTTCTTTAGACCTTACTGTGTCATTTTCCAACTTAAAAGTTAGCACCTCCCTTGGAAGCCTCTCTGGTATGTGTGAATGTGTACTCCTGTCATCTCACCTCTCCTTTGCTCTCCACAGTGCGAGCAACTGGTCGGTCTCCTCCTGAGCACAGCAGTGCTGTCCATGCCATCTTTGGGCCGGTTGCAGAGAAGCATCGTCAGCTTTTCCCATGGAGAGTATTTTTATAGCTTGTTCTCAGAAACTATCAATACTGAGTTGTTGAAGAATATAGATATTGCTGTGATGGAGCTCATGAAATCATCTGAGGAGAATCCCAAAATGGTACTGAAGTTGTCCTTTAAGTAAATATTTTCTGTAACATAATGCTCATAAAAGGATTGACATATTCCTGAAATGTTTCATTAAAACAAAAAGATCTCTTTCTAGAAGGTTAAAATCAATGGAAACAAAACACAACCTTTGTCAAGAATTCCTGGATGCTAATAGATGTTGAATCTTTGATTATTTTTTTCATTGTTTTATGCACAAAGTCTCTAGCCCTGACTTCATGATGCACATAGCTTTGTAGGATGTGGGATTTTGCCAGGACTTGGCGTCAGAGCTCATATACCCGTCTTCCCTTTCCCATTTGCATACATAACCCTATATACAAGGACTGATGCGACTACTGTGTGCTCCTCTCCTCTCCACTTAGCCCCTCACATTGAACTTTTTGAGATCAGTAGTTAGTTTGTGGTCTTCAGTTTGCTAAGCTTCTAGGATTTTGAAATTTAACCTGCTCTGAGACAAAAACGTATATGACTGTTTTAAGGGAGAGCATGTAATTCTTACTGAATTAGCATTTATTCCAAACAGTGCTTATTATCCATTGTAAGGGAATTTTTTTGTGGTAGATTTTACTTGCAATTTGTATTTTTTAAAATTAGGAATAAAATTGTAGTAAACCCTTGACACTCAGGGGATTTAACGTTTTGAGCTTTTAAAATATTCAAATTTTTGGTGAAAATGGTGGATAAAAATGCATATACATTTATCTTTCCTGCACCACCAGCCACTCCAAGGAAGAAAGATGTGGCAGTTAGTTTCTATAAATATTAAAGCCTGGGAATCACTATGGAACAGTTCTGGTTTTCTTTGTAGTGTTGCTGTGAGTTAAACATGACTCAACAGCACCAACTTTGATTTTTAGTTTTTGAGGGTAGTTTTCTGGAGAGGATACATCTCTCTAGGCTGGAGGACTCCAGGGATAGTCAAGGCAAACATGCCTTTTTGAAAGAGAGTAAGCAAAAGCCTGGTGAAATTCTAAATCCTTGAGATTCTTATTCTCCAGTTTGATTCCTCAAATAGTCAGCTTGGTGTGTACCCTCAAAGCAGGATCTTAGAATATTCTGGCAAGCATAAGAGAAAACAAAGACACTGTCATCACCACCTAAGCAGTTGAATCCTGTCGCAGCTCACTGTGGGGAAGAGGGATTCCAAGAGGCACAAGGAAGAGACTTCTCAGTGAGACGTAAATGTGAAAAGAAGGTAATCTCTGAGAGAGAAGGCAAGGCAACACATTTATGAAACAGGAATTACTAGTGAAAAAGAATATTGGAGAATAAAAAAGAAGTCTTGGGAATTAAGCATAGGTATCAGAAATTAAAATGAAGTAAGTTTGCAAGGTAATATTGAGGCACCCTTTTAAAGAAAGAAAAGTGAAAGGCAAAGAGATGAGGAAGTTTGATGATGGTCTAAAAGGTGAAGCTCAGTGTCACTGCTCAGAGAGGACTTACCGGAAGGAAGGGCTGAATTTCTAGAGAGAAGGGGCCACTGTGTGTCCAGTGTAAGGTTGGAAACAGCTCCACTTAGAGTACGTGTATGTGAAAATTCAGAACCATGGGGGTTCTCCAAGAAGAAGTTCCCTGAAAATTTCCATAGGAGACGTGCCTTATTTAGTAATGGTATGGAAGCAGACCATGAGCCTCTTCCTTAAAAATTAAGGGAACACTGCCAACCTGGAGTTCTAAATTTAGCCAGAATATCAGTGAAGTGGGACAGTAGAAAAAAGTTGTTTTCAAATGTTCAGGATCTCAACAAGACTACATCTGCATTTTTTATTAGGAAACTATTAGAGCAAGTATTTCATCAAGATAGATAGTAGGCCAAGAAAGAGAAAGACATTGTATGCAGGAAGTAGGGGCTCCAGTGAGGTTCATGGATGAATCTCTGGATGTGATGCTGTGTATGTGTGTATTTTTGTACATGTATACTCGTATGCATGCACATGCATGTATGGCTCTATGCAGGCTCCATGAATTGTAAGGGATAATTTCACAGAAGAAGTCAACAGACTTTCTGATGTGTTTAGCTGACTTGATGCAATTTATTTTGGGGCAATTTGATGAATATTCCTTCCAAGGAGTGGCTGATGGGTTTGAACCCCCAGCCTTCTGGTTAGCAGTCAAATGCCTTAGGCACTACACCACCAGAGCTCCCAATTAATGATAGTCACATCAAAAACAGTAAAGAAAGCAGACAAATACTAACTTAGAACTTCAGGGAGGCAACATATTATACAGTAAAGTAAAAGCATTGGTAGTTTACTACTTAGATCAAAATTGTAGTAATACTGAATATCCATCTGTTTTGGTTACATGGTACTGCGCTGACAAGAATATACCACAAATGGGATGGCCTTGTCAAACAGGAGTTTATTCTTACAGTCTGGAGGCTTTAAGTCCGAGTTCAAAGTGCCAGGCTCTAGGGGCTGGATTAAAGCCCCTCAACTTTGGGCTTCAGCTCTGCCTCCTACTCTCGGCCCACTGGAGCTAAAGGGTTGTCTTATTCAAACAGCTGCTGGTTGCTGAGACTGACAAGTCTAAGGTTGACCAGTAAAAAGGCACAGTCCTGATGTTACCAAACTACATGGCAGGCCATTAATTCAAGTCTATTGAAAGACCCCAGGTCAGGAGAGCATGGCAGGCTGCTGAAAAACGACTTGGCTACATGCAGTTTTCAAGCATTCCATAAGCTGGAGACCGTTCCCCAAAGCTTCTCTTTATATACAGGAAGCAGACCACATTCCTAACGCAGCTTCTCACAGTAGATTCCACCATGGAGTTGATTACCAGTCTCATCATGGGGAATACTATATACAGCTGCCCAGCCACTCAACCAAGCCCAGCCAAGTTGACAGACAAACTTAACTACCACACCATCTAATAAAAATTAGCATATGATTATAGTGGAAGGATGATAGGACAGGTTATGTGTGTGCATATGTGTGCTCATGTGAGTGAGCATATGTGAGTATGTGTGCATATGTGTGCATATGTGTGCAGGTAAGGTGATGGTGATGAAAGAGCTAAGGTTCATCTTCCAGTGGAGTCCACTCAAGAATGCCCTAAACTAAATAATAGCAGTAAAACATATTAATGAGATAATACTCCAAAATGCAGCTCAAGGAATTGCCTATTGGCTATAGGAAATGACATGAGATGGGAGTCAGGCAAGAGACAGCTGTTATTAAAAATATACTTGTGTATATTTAGCAATGGTGTGTATGTATACCTTTATAGCACTTAAAATAAAACATGTTAAAAAATTAGCAGACTTATACAAAACCTAAAAAATTGTCATTTGTCTGATGTTCAAGTATTGTGTGCACAGCAAGGATTGCAGCAAGGCATTTATAAGTCAGCCTGGATGTCCACACTTGCAATATCTGGTGAATTTAAGGCTTTGTTATAAATAATCCCTAGAAATCTATTGTTCATGCTGGTGATGGATATGAAAAGGTTTAAAATAAATTGAGTGTTTGATAAATTTAGTATCTATTTCAGTGACATTAATTTAGTATCTAAGGCACTTGACTGCTAACCAGAAGGCTGGCAGTCAAACCTACCAGCCACTCCTCAGAAGGAAGGTTGGGCAATCTACTTCCGTATTGATATTGCCTCAGCAACCCAAGGAGGGGTTGCTATGAGTCGGGTCCTACTCGACGGCAAAGAACATGTTTTTTTATGGGAAAACTTACAAGTTAAAGTGGTATTCTCAAATTTGAGGAGTTATGAAGTGGATAAAATGTTAGTTTATAGTAGATAAATATGGAAGTGTAGATACTGTCTTTACTTTCCAAGAAAAGCTTTGGAGTGAAAGTAACTTTTGTCATATAGCTATCAGTCTCAGGATTAAGAATTTTCTTTAGTCACAATGAACTTATTGCAGGTGAGTGCTGTTTTGAATGGCATGCTAGATCAGAGCTTCAGGGATCGAGCCATTCAGAAACACCAAGGACTAAACCTTGTGACTGCAGTTCTGCAAAACTGGAAGAAGTGTGAGTCATGGTGGGCCAACGATTCTGCTCCTGAAAGTAAAATGGCAGTGCTGACCTTGCTGGCAAAAATTTTACAGGTATTTTGAGAGACCACAAAATGTAGTTACATTTGTTTTATATTCTGTGATGTGCATCTTTAAAAATTTGATTGATGTTGCTTCAAAAGCTCATTGAAAATATTTTTGATGGATGATTGCTGATTACCTTAAATTTTATAATAATAATTGATGGATGATTGCTGATTACCTTAAATTTTATAATAATAATTTGCTATTATATATCATTATCATTTATTATACTTATTATCATTTCTTATACTTTATCTTTTTAGCGTATCTTTACATACATTGTCTTTTTTGTTTTTATTGTGATCTGGGTGAAAGCTTACACAGCAAATTCATTTTCCATACAGCAGTTCATATACATTTTGTCTTGTGACATTGACTGCAATTCCACACAAGGTGTGGAACAGATCTCTTCCCACATCCTCCCTATAGTTATCTCTTCCCTGTGTCCTTCCTTCCCATGCACTCTTGCCCCCCAAGCAGTTTCCCTGGGCATCATACACTGCCCTTCTGTTCTCCCATGATTGATCTCTCCAAGGAGTGTATCTACCTGATGTACATGTTCAACCCATATGCCTGTCTTTTATTTGTCTGGAAGCCACAGGAGTGAGTTCTATTCCAGACCCGAAGGGCAGCTAGGACCTGTAGTTTCAGGGGTTTCACCAGGCTCTACCAGACCAGCAAGCCTGGTCATTCTTTTTATGATTTTGAGTTTTGTTCCACATTGTTCTTCCACTCTATCTAGGATCTCCTGCACTGATTCCTCTCTGAGTGGGTTCACAGTGGTAGCCAGGTACCATCTACTTCTTCCTGTCTCATCGTCGTATAGGCTAGGATCACTTGATCTACCAGTCCCTTGGACTAATTGATTCCATGCATGTGGATGAGGAGAGACCCATCATTGCATCTAGAGAACCACTTGCAAGCTTTTAAGATCTCAGTCACTACTCACCAAAGTAGGATGTGGAACAATGTTTTTGTGTATGTTATGCCAGTTGAGCTTGATGTCCCCTGTGACCATGGTCCAGAGCCCACAGGTCCAACTACTCATTCCCTCTCGGTAGCTGGTATGGCCAAGAAGTCATCACAACCTTGTCCCTTGTCAGCTCTACTATATATCTGGACATTCTTACAACACATACAGATATGCTTGTAGAAACATTGCCTGCCAACCCTATTCTTCATCATGGGCACACTACCCCCTGCATAGATATACCTGATCATTCAGCCTGTCCACCCTTCTATCCACCTGTAGATCAATGTTTGCCCTCACTGAGAATGCAGTACTGTATATGCAGAAGGGTTCATCTTTGTTATCTGTACCTCCCATGTACCTTTCTATGTCTTCCTCTTCCTCAGTGCCACTGTATTGATCACTCACATTTGGTACATTGCCCTTCCCTTCACCCAAATCAGTACTTGTCTCTACCTATCTAGCAGTATTTCCTCCCCTCCCCTCCCACCCCTGGTAACAAACAAAGAAAGTTTTGTTCCATATATAAACCTTTCCTTGACTTTTTACCATAATGAACTAATACAGTATTTGTCCTTTTGTGATTGACTTCATTCAGCTAATATCCCCCAAGTTCATCCATGTTAACACACTGTTTTGTAGATTCTACATTATTCTTTAGGATCACATGGTATTCCATTGGGTGTATGTACCATAATTTCGTTATCCACTCTTTTGTTGATGGGCACCTAAGTTGTTTCCATTTTTGGCTATTGTAAATAGTGCTGCAGTGAACATAGGTGTGCATATATCTGTTCTTGTTCTGGCTCTCACTTCTTTAGGATGTATACCTAATAATGGGATTGCTGGGTCAAATGGTATTTCTAATTCCAACCTTTTAGGGAATCACGATACTGCTTTCTCCAGTGGTTTATCATTTTACAGTCTCACCAGCAGTGTATGAGAGTCCCAATCTCTGCACATCCTCACTAACATGTGTTATTTTATGTCTTGTTGAACTTTGCTGTTATTGCTGGGGTAAGTTGTTATTTCATTATTGTTTTGATTTTCATCTCTCTAATGGCTAATGATTGTGAGCATTTCTTCACGTGTTTGCAGACTACCTGAATATCTTCTTTTGTGAAGTGTCTATTCATATCTTCTGCCCATTTTAAAATTGGTTTGTTAATCTTTTTGTTGTTGAGGTTTTGGAGTTTTCTATAAATTTTATAGATAAGTCCCTTGTCAGATAATGGCATTGCCAAATATTTTTTCCCAATCTGTATGTTCTCATTTTACTCTTTTGGAGAAGTGTTTGGAAGCACATAAAAACTTAATTTTTAGAAGGTTCCATTCATCTAGTTTATCTTCTGCTATTTGTGCATTTTGAGTTATGCTTTATAGTCTATTTATGCCATAAATTAGGGTCCCTAAATTTACCCCTTTTTTTTCCTTGAGGAACTTTGTAGTTTTAGATTTCACACTTAAGTATTTAATACATCTAAAGTTAGTTTTTGTGTATGGTATGAGGTATGGATCTTGTTTCATTTATCTGCAAATGGATAATTAGTTTTGCCTGCACCATTTGTTAGACAGTCTCTTCCCCTTTTAATGGATTTCAGCCCTTTGTCAAAATTCAGCTGACCATAGTTGAATGGATCTGTTTCAAGGTTTGCAATTCTGTTCTTCTGGTGTATGTTTCTGTCATACAAATACCAGGCTGTTTTGACTACTGTGGCTATATAGTAGGTTTTGAGATCTGGGAGTGTGAGACCTTCTACTTTGTTGTTCTTCTTCAGTAGTACTTTGCTTATCCAAGGTCTCTTTCCTCTTCATATAAAATTAGTGATTGTTTTTTCCATATCCTTAACAAATGTTGATGAGATCTGGATTGGGACTGCATTGAATGTATAGATTGCTGTGGGTAGTATTGGTATTTTCATAATGTTCAATCTTCCTATCCATGAGCATGGTATGTTCTTCATTTGTGTAGATCTCTTATGGTTTCTTGAAGTAGTATTTTGTAGTTTTCTTTGTATAGGTCTTTTGTGTCCCTGGTAAGATTTATTCCCAGGTAATTTATTTTTTTGGTAGCTATTGTCAGTGGTATTGAGTTCCTTATTTCCTTTTCAGAGACCCCTTTGCCCCTTTGCTGGTGTAGAGGAATCTACCTGATTTTTGTGTGTTGCTCTTATATCCTGCCACAATGCTAAATCTCTCAATTGGTTCTCAATTTTTTACTAGTCTCTTGGGTTTTCTAAGTATAGGATTATATCATCAGCAAATGGGGATAGTTTGACTTCTTCCTTACCAATTTGGATGCCTTTGATTTCCCTTCCTTGCCCTATTGCTCTAGCTAGGACTTCCAATACAGTGTTGAATAGAAGTGGTGATAGATGGCTTCCTTGTCTGGTTCCTGTTCACAAGGGAACAGTTTCAGTATTTCAATTTAGAATAATGTTGGCTGTTGGTTTTTGTTGTTGTTGTTGTTTGTTTTTGTTTTAGTTTTTATTGTGATTTGGGTGAAAGTTTACAGAGCAAATTCATTTTCCATACAGCAGTTCTTACATATCTTGTTTCATGACATTTACTGCAATTCTCCATAATGTAACAGCTTTCTTCCCACTTCCTCCCTTTAGTTACCTCTTTCCTGTGTCCTTCTTGCCTATGCATTCCTACCCCCTCATGTATCTCCCTGTGCAAATATTACCCTTCAAATCTCCCATGCTTGATCATTCTGTAGAGTGTATCTACTTGATATAATGTTCATCCTATATGTCTCTCTTTTGTTTGGCTGGAAGCCACGGGAGTGAGTTCAGCTCTAGACCTGAAGAGTAACTAGGGGCCATAGTCTCAGGAGTCTCACCAGGCTCTGTTAGACAGTAAACCTGTCTTTTGTATGATTTTGAGTTTTGTTCTTCCTTGTTCTCTAACTTGATCCAGGATATTCTGCACTGATCCCTTTCCACGTGGTTGATGATGGTAACCAGGCACCAACTAGTTCTTCTCATCTCACAGTCATGTAGGCTGAGGTTTGCATGGTCCACTAGTCCCTTGGACTGTTTCCATGCAACTTTGGTTTTCTTCCTTCTTCTTTGCTTTGGACAAGGAGAAACCATCATTGCTTCTAGATGGCTGCTTGTAAGCTTTTTTTTTTTTTAAATTTATTGTGATTTGGGTAAAAATTTACAAAGCAAATTCACTTTCCATACAGAGGTTCACATACACTTTGTCTCATGACATTGACCACAATTATCCACAATGCAACAGCTCCCCTCCTAGTTCCTTCTGATAGTTACTTCTTCCCTGAGTCCATCCCTCCCTGCACTCCTGCCCCCTGAGCTGTCTCCCTGTGCGTAAGCAGCCCTTCTTTCTCCCATGATTGTTCGCTCCATAGAGTATATCTACCTGAGGTAAATATTCAACTCATATGCCTGTCTTTCGTTTGGCTGGAAGCCACAGGTGTGGGTTCAATTCCAGACCTGAAGGGCAGCTAGGGTCCATAGTCTCAGTGGTTCCACCAGGCTCTATCAGACCAGCAAACCTGGTCCCCCCCCCTTTTTTTTTTTTCCAAATGATTTTGAGTTTTGTTCCACATTGTTCTCCCTCTCTATCCAGGATCTCCTACATAGATCCCCTTCCAAGTGGTTGACAGTAGTAGCCAGGCACCATCTAGTTCTTCTGGTCTCATAGTCATATAGGCTGCAGATTGGATGGTGTACCAGTTGCTGGGACTAATTGTTTCCATGAATTTTTGGTTTTCTTCATTCTTCTTTGCTTTGGACGAGAAGAGACCCATCGTTGTATCTAGATGGCAGCTTGCAGGCTTTTAAGATCCCAGTCGCTACTTGTCAAAGTAGGAGGTAGAACAATGTTTTGTGTAGTATGTTATGCCAATTGAGCTTGATGTCCTCTGCGACTATGGTCCCAAGCCCATGGGTTCAACTACTTGGTCCCTCTGGGTAGATGGCTGTGACCAAGCAGTGACTACAACCTTGCTCCTTTTCAGCTCTACTATACACCTGGGAATTCAGATCATATACATAAACTCATAGGACCATTGTCTTCCAGCCCTATACATGTTCTTGGGTATGCTCCCCGCTTCATAGACATATCTAATAATTCAGTCTGTCTACCCATCTATCCACCTACATATCCATGTTTGCCGTCACTGACAGTGCAGTACTGTATGTGCAAAAGGGTTCACCTTTGTTGTCTATACCTTCCATGTAGCTCGCTATGTCTTTCTCTTCCTCGTTGCCACCATATTGATCACTCACATTTAGTACATTGCCCTTCTCTTCACCCAAATCAGTACTTATCACTACCTGTCTAACAGTGTTCCCTCAGCTCCCCTCCCACCGCTGGTAACCCACAAAGAAAATTTCCTTCCATAGATAAACCTTTCCTTGACTTTTACAATAATGGACTAATACAATATTTTTCCTTTTGTTATTGACTTATTTCACTCAGCATAATGTCCTCCATGTGCATTCACGTTATGCAGTGTTTTGCAGATTCTACATTATTCTTTAGCATTGCATAGTATTCCACTGTGTGTATGTACTATAGTTTGCTTATCCATTCCTCAGTTGATGGACACCTAGGTTGTTTCCATCTTTGATTCAATTTGCAACTCTCCATCTCTTGAGTGGTGCATTTAATCCATTAACATTCAGTGTAACCATTGACAAGTATGAACTGGTTGCTGTCATTTTGGTATCTGTTTTTTCATGGTGTCCCTGGTTTCTTTGTTCCATATGATTTTCTGTGCTGAGCTCATTATGTTTATGAATCATGTTATCATTTCCTTTGTTGCTGTTGTTTTAGTATATGAAAGTTTTTTAAATCAGGACTGAGTGCTAGATTTTATCAAATGCCTTTTCTGCATCGATTGATATGATCATATGGTTCTTTTCCTTTTTTTATTTATGTGATGGATTCCATTGATTGTTTTTCTAATGTTGAACCATCCTTGCGTACTTGGCATGACCCCTACTTGGTCATAATTAATAATTTTTTGATAAGTTTTTGGAGTCTATTGGCTAGGATTTTTTATTGAAGTTTAGGTTTACATACATTGTCTTAATGGACACTTTTAAAGTATTTAAGAATAAGAATTATTTAAATATTGTTGAAGCCCCACAACAAACTTATAATCAAGTTCTAAAATTTAAATATGAAAAATATATTAAAGGAAATAGAAGCATATATAGAAGTGTGATATGTTTTTGTTTCCTTTCCTTTAGATCGATTCATCTGTATCTTTTAATACAAATCACAGCTCATTTCCTGAAATCTTTAGAACATATACTAGTCTGCTTGCTGACTCAAGGTTGGGTCTACATTTAAAAGTAAGTGTTTAAAAAGAATATTTTTACATTCTCAATTATTTACTATTTTTTATAGTTTTTCATAATTATGATTTTTTAATTTGGAAAATTTCATACATGTGCAAAAGCAGAATAACTATTATCACAGTAAATCCCCATTTACTTGAAAGTAGCCTCAGTAATCCTTGCTGTGAGCTTGTTTGATTAACCACCTTCCTCTACCTTGGAGGAAGCCTCAGGCATTATATTATCTGGTCTATAGATACTTTACATGTCTGTCCAAAACGTAAGAATATTTCTTTTAAAGCATAATGACAATGAAATTATTATACTTGGAAGAGGTAACATTTATCTTTGCATATGAATGATTTAAATTGTCTTTTTTGAAAATTGGTATATAATGAATGACAGCCTCTAACTTTTAATTATTTTTATATTAATAAAAAATTTGAACTATCTGAGTATTTTCTAGGGCCAATAACTTAATAAGTACAATTTAAAGTTACTAATTTTAAAATCCTGTTATATTTAGAGTTTAAGTTCTGTTAAAATGTGGTCTTCATGAAAAGGATCCTTTTACTGGATAATGAAGATAATTCTCTGGAATTTTTGGCTCTGTATTATTAATTAAGTTTCCCATTTCTCAACATAAGGGAGTCTTGTTACTTACCCGCCACTTGAAGGCAGTAGGAAACAACTCTTAGTTCCTTTTAAATTCAGTGTGAACATCTTTATTAGTTCCACAGGAATCGTTGTGAGGTTCCCTCTAGTTTTCCAACATCTTCTTTCCATGTAACACTTACTCAGTACATCTGTACCAGAGCTGTTACTTGTATAAGGACAAAACAGTGCAGAATCAGCATATGATGGCCTATTTATTTAAATTTATAGAGCCCCTTGAGCCCACTTAGCTTTGTCTGGGAAGGCAATTTATAGAATTCTATCAGGCTGTGTTTTGGTTTTTTGCTTTTCATTGTTATGAAATATGTATGTATGACAAAATTAGTGAGGGTTTTGATGTACTCTAGAAGTTATTCTGAAATCATCCATTGAATTCACATTTGCCTTATTTCCAAAGTCTTTAGAAAGCATTCATTTTATTTGTTATGTAGGTTCTATAAGCCATGATTAGTACAATTTCATATGTCAGCATTGTTCCACAGGGTCAAGCTATAATTATTCTTCCGTTCTTCACCAATCTTACTGGAGGAAATCTTGAGGACCTTAAGCATGTTCTTGAAAAACTTGTGGTTTCTAATTTCCCTATGAAGTCAGATGAATTTCCCCAGGGAACACTACAGTATAATAATTATGTGGACTGCATGAAAAAGGTTAGTTCTTAGTAGTACCAAATAAAATTAAAACATTGGTTTTTCTGTTACATTTCTTGATTAAAAGAAACGAGTGAAATATCCAGAATCACAAAAGTATCCTAACTTTAAGAACTCAATTTAATGCACTTTGAAAGTTAGCCATTTGTATAGGTAGATGCATATCTGAATCCTTTGGAATTCTTCCCTCTCCCCATGGTAATACTGTATTTTTGGTTAAGGTTTACAAAGCAGTTTAGCTTCCCACTCAACAATTTCTACACATGTTGTTCAGTGATATTTGTTACATTACTCACAATGTGTCAGCATTCTCATTTTCTTTCTGCTTTTTCTGTTTTCCATTAATCTAGTTTCCCTGTCCTGTTACATTTTCATCTTTGTTTTAAAGTAATTATTGCCTGCTTAGTTTCATGTAGGTGATTTTCTTTAAAGGCACATAGAATGTAAGGATGATATTCATATTTTTTGAGCCAGTTTATTCTCTAGCTACAAGATGACCTCAGGGGTTAGCTTTGGTTAAAAGTTTAAGAGTATTTCAGGACAGTAGTCTCAAGTCTATCAGTCTCAACTACTCCAGTAGGTCCATTTTTTTTTTTTTTTTCTTTTTAAAATTTTGTAAGCTTCTGTTCCTTATTTTTTTCCCATTCTAACAGGGTCCATCTATTGTGGCCCTTATTAAAATGGTCGGTAATAGTAGCCAAGCACCATCTAGCTCTTCAGGTATCAGGGTAGATGTGGCTGTGCTTCATGTAGACTGTTTATCCTATAGAGTAATTCACTCCCTTCTACCTCATTTTTTTAATTGTGAAATATTTTATGCATTAAGGTGGAACATATAATGTATATATAAGTTATGAAGAATAATACCAAAAGGAGTTGATAATAGAATGTTATCAATTTATGGAGAAAAAAAAATTAGTAGTAGTGATTATTTGAGAAGTGTTTAGTGATTGTCACCTTTAATACTTAATATACAGCTGATGGTCCCTAAAATACTAGTGGTTTACAGAAGAGAGGAGATTATTTTCCTCTCTGGTACAATTCTAGGTTGGCAGCCCAGGGCATCTCCATAGTCAATAGGGACCCAGTCTCCTATTATCTCTTTGCTCTGTCATCCTCCTTACCCAGCTTCTATCTTATTGTCCTATATTGCTGCTCTATTTCCTGTCACCTTGTTCACTTCCAGCCAATGAGAGGGAGGGAAGAGTAGTAGAGAACACATCTCTTCCTTTTACTGGCTCAACCCAGAAGTTGTACATGTTACTTCTCCTTATAATTCACTGGCCACATACTACTACAAACAAGACTGGAAACATTGTTTTCATTCTGGTTGGCCATTTACTAAACTGCAACTCAGCGATTTAACCACTGAAAAAAAGAGGATAACTAATTGGGGGTGGGGAGAGTTGTGGTCTACCACACTTAAGTTGTACTGAGCACTAGGCTAATGTGTGGATCCTCAAAAACAATTAAGACTTTGGTTTTGTTTTTAAGGAGCTTATCATTTAAGAAAGGAGCTCTAGTGGCATAGTGGCTAAGGCCTTTGACTGCTAACCAGAAGGCTGGCAGTTCAAACCCACCAGCCACTCTTTGGAAAGAAGATTGGGCAATCTATTTCTGTAGAGATACCACCTTGGAAACCTAAGGAGGGTTCACTATGAGTGAATTTGGGTTTTTTTATAGTTTAAGAAACTACAAAGAAATGGATGATTAAAACCCCCTGTAATCAAGGCTCACTGTTTTCTTGTCAGTGGAGGTTTATGGGTTGCTATGATGCTAAGCTTTGAGACTAAGAAAGACTAGGAAGAAAGGCCTGGCAGTCTACTTTTGCAGATTAGTCTGTGAAACCCCTGTTGTTGTTATTTGCCATTGAGTCAGACCCGACTCATAGCGACCCCTCCTTGGGTTTCCAAGGCAGTATCACTACGGAAGTAGATTGCCTCATCTTCCTTCTGAGGAGTGGCTATTGGGTTTGAACTGCCAGCCTTCTAGTTAGCAATCAAGTGCCTTAGACACTATGCTACCAGAGCTATGCATCGTTAACAGTCTTATTGTTATGCATGAGGTAGCCATGAATTGGAGGCTGACTTATCAGCAGCTAACAACAACAACAATCAAGGCTTAGGGGAGATAAGTATATAGCAAGAGTGTGGCAGATCATATTTTCCAAAGATGGCCAAACCAATATATCCATCCCATGTTGAAAGACAAGGTCTAATTTTCCTTCACTTGGTGTGGGCTGGCCTTAAATACTTGTTTCGAATGAATAGAATTAAATGGAACTGATGCTGTGTAACTTCCGACATTCATCATTAAAGACATCACAGCTTCCTCCTGACACTCAAATATGTTGTCCATGGGACCCCATCACCATGGAGTTATTTGGAAAGTGTGGTTTATAAGCACCACCTGTCCACACATATTTTTCCGTCCTCATTCTTTTAATATATGTATTTTTAAACATACAGAAAAGTTGAAAGGATAGTAAAATAAACAACCATATAACCATCTCCTATATTTAACATTTGTTAACGTTTTATAATATTTGCTTCTGTGTGTGTAGGTGTGTATGTTTTCATTTTAGCTGAAACATTTGCAATTTAACTAAACATTATGATATTTCATCCCTAAATGCTTCAGCATGCAAAGCCTATGACTGAGGCATAATATTACTATCATGCCTAAGAAACTTAACATTCGTCTAATATTATCTGTTATCTAATCCATATTCACATTTCTCCAAAGGTCTCCATTTGTACCTTGATTTTTCAAACCAGGATCTAATTAAGGTTCTTGAATCGCCATGGCTCCATTATCTTCTAATCTAGAACTAGTTCACTTATCCTTTTTATTTTTCCATAGTATTCAGTTTTTGGAAGAAATTAGAATAGTTCTCTTGCATGATGTCCCGTATTTATGTTATTGTTCCCTTGAGATGTTCTTTATCTTTTTCCTCTATCCTCTGTATTTCCCTCTTTTTTTTCCTCCTCCTCTCTCCATTTGAAAGGTGTGTGTTTTTTGTGCAAGTAGCAGGTAATCGAGGAGGTGCCTTCGCCCTATGTAGGTATACTTCTTCCTAACAATCTGACATCTAATGGTTTTAACACTCAGAAAGATTCTAAACACCTCTTTAGAATTTTTCTTATCACTGAACATTTGAAGAAACCTTCTAACCTAAGAAAGATGCAAAACAATAGGAAAAACACATTCCTGGGAAAGAGAAACAGTGAAGGGGGAGACAAGAGAACCTGAAAGAAATTGTACAGAATAACATTGAGAGATGACAGAAAGTATTATTTATGAGAAAACAACAAAGGCTGTTGGAAATTTAATTCATAAAAGCAAAAGAAAAAACTTAGCAGAACAGAAGATAAAATTGAGAATATCTTCTGGAAAGTAGAATAAACAGACATCATGAAAGCAGGTAGGAGGGTAAAGATATGAATATAGAGAAACAGTATAGAATATCTACTGTGTACTGAAGGAGATGTGGAAAGACCATGTAGGTCCAGAATGGAAGGGCCTTTAGTAAATGGACAGCATCATGGAATTTTAGGACCTGGGGATAAAGAAAAGATTCTATAGATTTTTAAAAGGAAAAACATCTACAAAACCTTAAAAGGATCAAAACCCAAATAGTTTAGTGAGCATTATTACATGCAAGGCATTCTTTAATATATGCAAAACTGACAAAAATAGTAGCATGTGTTAATTTTCTGTTAAAATCTGTTATATATTCTCTATTTTATTATTTAGAACTGTTAAAACAGATAGAGCCCAACAGGTTTTTCTATTACTTGAAACATTTTGTAAAATAATTATTACATATTTTTCTAGTTTCTAGATGCATTGGAATTGTCTCAAAGTCCTGTATTGTTGCAATTGATGACAGAAATTCTTTGTCGGGAACAGCAACATGTTATGGAAGAATTATTTCAATCCACTTTCAAAAGAATTGCCAGTAGGTAAGTCAATGTAGTCTGGGATCTAAGAACCACATACATTTTATTTCTAGGGGAAATTGTCTTCTCTGCCCCTAGAAAGTTGACTGGTAGTTACACTCAACTTTTGCTAGATACCTAAGGACTAAATGTTTCTGTTTTAGATTGGTTTGTTTTTCTTCTTATTTTAAAAAATGGAAAAACCTGTATTATGAAAGTATTCAAATGTACTCAAAGCTAAAGGGAAGAGAAATTAACCCTCTATACTCATCCTCCAAGGAGCTCTGTTGGTATAGTGGTTAAGGCTACTAACCAAAAGATTCAAACCCACCAGCCACTCCACAGAACAAAGGTGAGACAGTCTGCTTTCTTAAAGATTTATAGCCTTGAAAACCCAATGGGTGTCACTATGGGTTGGAATTGACTTAGTGGTAGTGAGTTTGGTTTTTGGTACTCATCCTCCAGAATGAACACGCTCCAGAATCTTCCCAGTGTCTTTGTCCCTTTTGTCTTTTTTCTCTTTGCTGTTATCTAATTTAAAATTAAAAAGTAAAAAATCTTAAATTAGATAACAACAAAGAGAAAAAAGACAAAAGGGCTCTGGTGGCGTAGTGCCTAAGGCACTTGACTGCTAACCAGAAGGCTGGTGGTTCAAACCTGCCAGCCACTCCTCGGAAGGAAGGTTGGGCAATCTACTTCCATAGCGATTAGGCCTCGAAAACCCAAGGAGGGTTTGCTATGAGTCGGATCCGACTTGACGGCAGTGAGTTTGGTTTTTTGGTTTTGTTACCTAATTTAAAGCAAATTTCTGACATCATCTCATGTCACCTCTAAATACTTCTGTATGTAGCTCTAAGAAGTGATATTATTTTGAATAGCAACCATTATCAACTAAAAAACACTGTCATTAATTCCATATTCAGATTTTCCCAATAGTCTCAAATGTTCTTATACTTTTGTATTGTTTGAATGCAGATCTAAACAAGGTCTAGGCATAGCATTTCACCGTTGTTTCTCTTCACCCACATCAGTGCCCTTCCTTTCTTGGTTTTTCTCTTTCGTGTTTGAAGAAACCTGTACACCTGTCCTGTTCTGAATTTATCTAATTCATTCACGTTCTTTTCACTTAATTTGTTTCGTTAGCAAACAGAAAGTTAAATCTAAGCTCCAATTGATTCAGGTTCAAATTTTGATAAGACTACTTAGTAGGTGGTGTTCTCGTTCTACATAATATTAGGTGGCACATATGCCCGGTTTTCCTAATTTTAGTGAGGCTTAGATTGATGAGCCAAGTTCCTCAAACTTTTCCCTTATGGTTTTAGCATCTGTTGATGACTGTTGCCCCAGGTGAGTTATTTCACTAGAAGTTGCAAAATGATGATTTTTCTGATTCTTTTATTTCTTGTAAACTTAGTAGCTGGAATTACACTGTATAGAACTTGTCCTAATCAGTAGGACTATTTGGTTACCTAAAATATAGTTCATACATGGGAAGACAGAACAAATACTTAATGTTTCCCCTTTGTTTGTTGATTTTTAAAGTAAGGGCTTTATGCCTTACCTCCATCCAATTGTTTCCAATGAGTTGTTTTTCCACCCCCCCAATTGGAATTTATTTATATCGAATATATAACTACTCATGAGTGAGAATTACATTTTAACATTTTATTAAGTTATACTTTACATATTATAAATTTCACCCCTTTTTCATATACAATTTAAAGATTTTTAGTACTTCACTGAGTGGTGCAACCATTACCAAAGAGCATTTTCATCCCCCATTAAGATTCTACGTGACCATTCACAGTTAACCCTGTTTTCAGCCCCATTTCCAGGTGACTGTTAATCTTCTTTCTAGTTTATTAATTTGCCTCTTCTAGATATCTCATGTAAATGGAATCATATAATATGTGATCTCTTATGTTAGGCTTCTTTATACAGCATAATGTTTTTGAGGTTCGTCCATGATGTAACATGAGTCAGTAGTTCATTCTTTTTTATTGGCATATAAAAAAAAAAATCGTAATTAACCAGCTGTAGAATAATCTATACAACAATAGCATAATATTCATCCATTTCAAGTGCACATAGGGCATTCTTTAGTACAGTCCATATATTGTTGTTGTTGTTGTTATGTGCTGTCGAGTCGGCCCCAACTCATAGCGACCCCTCCTTGGGTTTCCGAGGCAGTATCACTACGGAAGTAGGATTGCCCAACCTTCCTTCCGAAGAGTGGCTGGTGGGTTTGAACCGCCAGCCGTCCATATATTAGTGCATAAAATAAGTCTTAATAAATTTAAAAGAATTAAAATCCTACAAAGTATCTTCTCCAACCACAGTGAAGTTAAGTAAGAAATCAACAATAGAAAGAAATTTTGGAAATCACAAAATAACCATCTAATAAACATGTATTTCTAAATAACCTATGGGTCAAAGAAGAAATTACAAGGGAATTCAGAAAGTATTTTGATCTGAATAAAAACACAGCATATAAAAATTCATGGGATGCATGTACAGTAGTACTTAGAGGGAAATTTTTATCTATTAATGCCTATATTAGAAAAGAAGAAAGATCTCAAATCAATAAGCTTTCATCTTAAAGACATTTAGTAATAGAAAAGGAAACTAAGCCAAAGAGAAGCAGAAGGATGGAAATCATAAATACAAGAATGAAGATTCATGAAATAGAAAACAGAAAAATGCTAGAGAAAGTCAATGAGCCAAAAAATGGTTCTTTGATAAACAAAAATGACAAACTGTTAGCTAGATTAACTAAGAGTAAAAAGGAGAAGACAAATTATGAAAATTAGTGAAAAGTGAGACATAACCACTAACCCCTTAGAAGTTAAAAAAGCTGATAAGGAAATATCATTAATAACTTTATGCCAACAAATTCAGCAACTGAAATGAAATGGACAAATTCTTAGCAAGTCACAAATTACCAAAACTGACTCAAGAAGATACAGGAGATTTGAATATACTTCTAACAAATAAAGAAAAAATGAATTAGTATTTAAAAATCTTCCCACAAAGAAAAGCCTTAACTCATTTTGACTTCACTGTTAAATTTCATCATGTTTTTAAAGAAAATAATGCCACTACTTCACAAATTCTTCTAGAAATAGAAAAGGAAGCAACATTTCCCCACACATTCTTTTAAATCAATATCACCCTGAAAGCAAAGCCAGACAGACATCTTAAGAAAACTGTAGGCCAATATCATTTATGAATGTTGTTGTTGTGTTGTTACGTTCCGTCGAGTTGGGCCCAACTCATAGTGACCGCTCCTTGGGTTTTCAAGGCAATATCACTACAGAAGTAGATTGCCCCATCTTCCCAGGAGTGTCTGGTGGGTTTGAACCACCAGCCTTCTGGTTAGTAGTCAAGTGTCTTAGGCACTATGCTACCAGAGCTCCTCATTTATGAGTATAACAGCAAAAATCCTCAAAAATGTCTTAGAACATTGAATAACATATCAAAAGCATTATGTACCATATCCAAATGAAATGTATCCCAGGAATGCAAGACTGATTTAACATCTGTAAATTAATGAATGTTATGCACTGTAGAAATAGAATAAAGGCCAAAAATAACACATTATTATCTCAGTAGATGCAGAAAAAGCATTTGACAAAACCCAACACCCATTCATAATAAACTGAAAAAGGTCATCAATGAAAAACCTATGGCTGACAAAATTTTGAATGGTATAAGTCTGAATGCTTCCTCTCTGAGTTTATGTTATTCAGTAACAACAGAGGGATTCTCACTCTTCTCCTCAGTAGCCAGTTCAATCAGGCACGAAGAAGAAATGAAAGGCAACTAGATAAAAGAAGAAGAAGTAAAACTATAAACACAGATGGCATGATTCTACATGTAAGAAGTTCTAAGAATCTATAAAAAACTATTATTAGAAGCAATGAACAAGTCCAGCAAGTTTACAGGATACAGGATCAATATTAAAAAATAAATTTTATTATAGAAGGTAAATGGTACTGGGACACCTGCATCCATATGCAAAAGAATGAAATTGGACTTATACCTCATACCATCTAAAAAATTAACTCAAAATGGATCAGTGGCCTAAATATAAGAACTAAAATCATAAAACTCATGAAAGAAATCATAGGAGTAAACTTTAAAACTTTTTTTTTTGACAATTTATTCTTAGATGTGATGCCAAAAGCACAGATTGGAAAATAAAAAATGGATAAATTTAATTTTATCAAAATGAAAGAATTTGAGGGAATGAAAAGGTTTTGTCAAGAAAGTGAGGAGACTTACGGAGTGGGAGAAAATATCTGGTAACCGTATATCTGATAAGGTTTTTATTTTTTAAATTATGTTTTACGTGAAAGTATGAGTATCAAATTAAGTTCTTAACAATTTTTATACAAAGTTTTACACAAATTATTTCATAACTTTGGTTACAATTTTCACAATGTGGCAGCATTCTCATTATTTCCATTCTCTTCTGTTTCCACTGATTTAGATTCCATTCCCCTCTTTATTTTCCCATCTTTGCTTTTAGGTAAATGTTGACAGTTTAGTTTCCTGTCGTTGATTGTCTAAGGGAGCACCTTTAAGCCACACTTTTTATAATCCAATCTATTGTTTGGCTGGAAGGTGACCTCTAGAAATAGCTTCAATTTCAAGTTCAAATAGCATCTTAGAGTGATAGTTTTTGGGGTTTCTCTAGTCTCTGTCAGTCCATTTGGTCTGGCTTTTTTTTTTTTTCAGGAATTTGAATTTTGTTGTACATGTTTCTCTCATTCTATCTCCATCCATTGTGTCCCTGGTCAGAACAGTTAGTAGTGGTAGTTGTACAGCATCTAGTTCTTCTGGTCTCAGGTTAGAAGAGGTCATGGTTCATATGGGCTATTAGTCCTGTAAAACTAGTTTCTTCTTGAGTGTTTGGTTTCCTTCATTCTCTTGTGCTTCACATAATTAGAGACCAACAGTTGTATCTTAGATGGCTGATTGCAGGCTTTTAACACCCCAGAGGCTACTCATTAAAATAGAAT